GCAAATATAGCAGACTAGACACTCTTTACATAAACTCCTGTATCTTCACTTACAGGATATGCCTTCATTCTTGTATCCTCGCCTAATCCTAGGGAAATCCTGTTAGATGTGATGCTATCATTTCACTTTTATTCCAGACCAGATCACTTCCTGTACCATTTTTCCAAAGAAAGAAATAGAACTTTTGTCCTCCATCAGCTTCTTATATTTGTTGTGATTTAGCAAAGTGGCCAGGACACGTTATAGGCTAAGTTCCCTATCAGAATGAGAGTACTGATTCTAAAAGAAGATACAACAAGGCTTATATTATGCAGATTAAGGCTGAGTAACCAATGAGACTTGAAGATAATGGGAGAAAACGGAAATACCATGACGACTCTGGCAGGAAAACACACCCATACACCCATGCAGAACGAAGCAGGGATTGGGATATAAAGGCATAGCACAGCTCAATTAATAAAATAATTCAGCAAAAAGATCCCACTCTTCATTTAGCTGAACTGATCCTAATGACAATTGTCTTCTGATTGTTTGATCCTCCTCTGGGTTGGAACAGTTTTCTTATTTGATCAAAGACTATGGGAAGAAACACCTTCTCTTGTGATAAAGGACAAAGAACAAAGAGCTGCTTCCTTCCCTTTTAAAAGCTTATCTGTTACCAACTGGAGAAAGAAATTTTCCAGAATAATGTAATTTAGACTTCCTAACTTGTTTTCAAATCCAATCAACAAGTTACTTGAACCTCCTGCTGAGTGGTTGAAGTCATTGGCCCAAAATGGAGGACGCCAGGGCTTGACATAATCCAAACCATTCAACAACACCATGGACTGATTCACAAAGGGCTTTCTTTGTTTCCCATATGGACCTGTTATCTGTGAATGACTACTTTCAGCATTCCTCAATCTAGTACCATCTTGATTTGGAATATTTCAGAATATCGTCAGAGACAAATTCCTTAGCAGTGTCAAATATTAAGTATATTTCCTCCCTTTCTAGCTTTATAAACTGACCTCCCCAACATTCTATTTGTTTTAGAGGCTTAATGGTTGTTATTATATATTTAAAATAATTACAAATTAGCTACTGGCTAATAAGTATGTTACTACAGAAATGTGTGAATAATCAATGTAGAACTATATTTTAATATTCTTGCAAATAGTAAACAAAATGAGTTATCCTAAACTAGGTCTTTTGTAAACAATTCCAGATAAATGAAACTACTCATTATTCCAAAATAAATGGTTTTAGAATTGCAGTTTTTAAGCCTTTATAGACTGGGTCTAAATATTTTTGCACATGGAATTAAATGCAAATAATTTCTGACCATTTAATATGAATGATTCTTAGCATAAGCTAAGAAACATAAACTACGTACAGTAAGAATCCTCATTGTTGGCATCCATCAGAATGATGGTCTTTAAGCTTCATTATCCCAGGATGGATGTCCAGAGTCAATGTTGGGTGGAAATGATGTGAACTGTAGTCTAATTTACTTGGAAGCTGCTAAGTTAGCAAAGATTAGATGCAAAGTGTGAGCAAATCAAAAGGTTTGGTTCTTTTGCCTGGCAAAATACAGGTAATAAAATACTTGTTTTGTCTGTTGTTCAGTAGAATATTTCTCTTCATCTGCATTATCTACTTCTCCAAACGATACAAAACTCCAAGAAAGTTCAGCAATTGCTCTTTGCATCAAGATTGACCAAATCACTTTCATTTAAATTTCTACTTTCCAGTGAGACATGGAAAAATAGTATGGTAACAATTGCTCAGCAAAGATCCCAATTTCCTTAGAGAAACTATATCTAAAATATATGTTTTTCATTTATAAAAGTAGACTAAAACATTTATCAAATGGGCTGAATTCTGCCAAGCATAGAAAAATATTTTCTGTTTTAAGTTCTAGGTATTCATTCATTCAAATCTAGTTTTGTGTTGGCCACCGTTATATCTAAATGTTGCATGAACTGATTTAGGTCTTTAAAATAAGATCTTTAATTTAAAATAGCCTGCAAACACAATATCCTTCTATTTGTATGCCTTTATTTTGGAGTACAACAAAGTGTATTGGTATGTTTAGCTGGTCAGTACCGGTAGTACATTAGCACTGTATCCTTAGGCGAACTGATACATCTTCAGATATTTGTCCTTAAATGTCTGAAGCAGCAAAATTTGGACAATAACCTAAGTCATTATATTGTTCAGTTTTAATTTAGTATGTGTCAACACAACTATTATGATTTATAAATAATTATGCTGTTTTGTGTCAAATTGGTGAAGTTATACAAATCATTATTAAAACAAACCATGCTTTAATTCAATATTCATTATGCCAACTAAGATTTTTCCCCCAGTTACAGTGGCAAAACGCACTTTTTATTCTTTCCAGAGCACACACACCCCAGAAAAGCTGCTGCCCTTTCTTTACCTGAGAATCCCTAGATTACCCTCATTTTGCTATCTCTTCTATCACTGCCGTCTTCTCTTCTTCTTGGCCTCCTTTAATTACTCACAGAATCTAATTACAATAAGATTCTATTTCTTCTCCATTATGCATGCAGACTCAGCCTTCTTTTAAAAATTCTGATCTACTCTTTAGTTTTCAACATTTAGTAACAGGACATGTCTTAAACTTTGTATGTATTAAAACCTGCTACTAGAATAGACCAGGAATAGCAGATAGTGATGAATAATTCACTGTATGCTGATAGATTCTGGGCTGATTTAATTCCCAAATGTCTGATAATTACAAATGAAAAATTGTAGTTGGTCAGAAATTTCTGGTCTGGCCATGTGCTCAAAATCACCCTGACCTTAATTCCAAGCCATTTACCAGCCCAAGCTATATTTTGTATATCTCAGAATACAACTGATAGCTCTTAGGTTTCATACCACTAATGCTGCTCACCTTACAACAGAGACTCTGCCTTCAGAACTGGAACTTGTCTTGGATAAGAGAGGCTATCATTTGGTGTCAGCTAAAAACAGTTATTTTCTTGGTGGCTATAGACCACATAGACCAGGATCATGATATCGGGGAAGGATTTTTCTAGGGAGTTGTTTGAGTTTGGAAATGTATTAAATTTAAATGAAGGTTTTGGGGGGGAGGTTTTCCCCTCTAAGCAAGAGGTGGGTGGATACTTTATGGAGAGAACTGCAAAATCATAGAGGAGACTCCCACTTGAAATCGTCCCATAGTTTCCGCCTGAATTATCGAAATCCATTCAGGAAGAAAGGATGGGTGGAAGAGTTGCCTTTTGATTGGCAATACAGAAGTCATCTCTCCAGGAATAGCTGCAGAGCCATTACCCTCCAACTTGAATTTCTGCAAAAGAGCAGAAGTTATATCCTCGCCTGGAGAAGAGGGCTCCCGCTGAAGAGCCAGAAGGCTGGGTAAGTGCTCCCTTCAGATGGGACCCACAGAAAAGAGCCATTGCTACCGGGATGCTGTGGCCTGGCGCTACTAAGATTGTCGAGCTCCCGCCCACTCGCGGCTGCTGCCCAACCTCTCCTCGCCAGCCGCTCGGTGGGCAGCCACGGGGTCAGCAGACGCAGGCGGTGCAAGCCCTTTGGGGGACGAAGGCCTGGGTTCCGGGACCCCGACCAAGCTTCTCTTGTGGGGCCAGGAATCCTCGGGCTGTGGCCGGGAGGTAACAGAAAAACTCCACCCGGGCGCAGAACCGGCAGGCGCAGGCATTGAAAAAGGTTGCCCTGCGCTGGGGAGGGACTCGTCTCCTGTTTCTCTTCCGCGCTTTAGTTCATCGCGCCCGGTTCCACCTACTGGACTCCTGCAAACAGGGAGGGGAAGAAACTCCAGAGCAGGTTGCCAGGCAGGCCGTGGTGACTCGTAAGCCCGCGCGGCGTCGGAAGCCCCAACTTCCCCTTAGGGGAGGGATTTTTTTTCTCTTACTGCGGGTGGTGGTGGTGGTGGCAACCTTCTGGAGAAACTAACAACAATAACAAGGTTTAAAGGCGAGGGGGTGGGAAGAGGATCACATACACACACACACACACACACACACACTCCACCCGCACACACCGGTTTGTATGCTGCAGAAAGAGTTTGCAGTAGCCTGAATGTAAGAGAATACAACAGGGAGAACAGTAGAGCGAGAACCAGAGCAAGAGTCGCCCATCAACCTGCAAATAGCTGGCATCTTAAGACCATAAAGTTGTTTGACTTCTTAAATGGTAGAAGTACAAACTCTTAACCTCAGCCCTTCTTGCTTCCATTATTATCAATCCCATTCATTGCGTCCATTTCAATTCCCTATAAGGTTTCTGGTGGCTAAGTTGGGAAAGTGCCTTGCAAACTTTTTTTCCTCCTCCTTCAAATAAATAACGTATTGTTTCTACCAAGTTTTGAAAATTTTCTACAATCTACCAACAGTCTGAAAGCCCTTTTCCTTAAAATAGCCCATGTCCCTTTAAACACAGGCACTGGACCATTCAAACACTCAGTTTTCTATATTTGTTTGCTTTAAAACTGTGGGGAAATACAGTGCATTTTAAAGTATTGAGATTCTGTTTTCATTTACTTAATGACAGCATTAACTTTCATTTCAATCTCATCAATTAAGAAGTATACCTGCTCTGGTAGGACTATTTCTTCTCTTTTATTGTAAAACTTTTATTTTCACAATGTATACATTTTATAGAAATATGGACTTTTTCTATCTATATACCCTCCCTTTTAAGAAATGTGTTTTGCTAAGCATCATCTTTGACTCATTCCATCTATTTGCATGATTCTATTGTTCCTTACAGGCGCTTCTGTTAGTCTATATTCTGAGAATTTGGACATAACAAAAAGGTAATTGGGAACAGGGTGAAAGAGGAGAAAAAAATAAAGACAGATTTTAATTCACTTTGTAAATTTTAACAGCCAGAAAGTGAAAATAAAATACAGGATGAGCATATTTGAATATCCAATGCTGTTGGAAAAAATTCCAAGTAAGATAAACATAAGGAATATCGGGTGAAAGCGTATTATAATGCTTTACCTGGACATGGTAATCTCTGCTTGAGGGCTCTGGGATTTCTCCAGTCCCAGTTTGGTGAAGATACCCACCAGCACCATGATGGCCACCACACCACAGATAATGTATACAATCATGTTGGTCTTGTCCTTGGTAGGATTCTGAGGACTCTCATCCACTCGAGGTGGTGGTTGGCCTGTGTTGACCCATTCCGGTGTCTCATAATTCGAACAACCACTTTGATCAAGTTTTCCACTTGTGAATTGACAGCAGAAGCGGTAACCACAAGTCCCACAGCAAAAATTGTAGATCCCTGAATTGCAGTTAAATGGAGGATCCCACTGGCCCATTACATCATAATAACCAAGGCACCGATCTCCCCCAAAGATGGACTCTGTGGGGGCTACAATTGTGTCCTCTAAGATCGGACCCAATGTGGTATTGTCTTTGACCTCCACCTGCAGTTCTGACTCACGTTTCTGAGGATTAAGTGTTCCAGTCCAAACTTGACCTGGGTCCATAAGAACTAAGCAATAGAATCCAAAAATACACCGTTCCATCTGTATGCCACTCCAGTTCACTACTAAAACTGCTTTCTCTTGCCAAGATTAACTTCCACAATAGAGAAAACCTTGTTTTGTTTAGCAATGCAAAAAAAGGATTTTTTTAAAAAAAATCCAGTCAAAAATGGAAAGATAATATAGTTCTTTGTAAGCCACTTCTAGTGGAGAGGTCAATCTCTTGTTTTTTCTCCAAAGCAAATAGCACAATCAAAATAAATTCTCTAGTCCCCCAAAAAAGAAAAAAGTGGGATGGGTGGGAGTATGGTTGGAAGTTGAAAAAAAGGGGATGAGAGTAGAAGAAATCAATATAATGTGTAGCATCATCAGAAGACAATCTCAGAATTTCCTATGCAATCCCAAGAGGTAGTAGATATGCAGTCCTCCTCTTCTTTTAGTAGCAAATATTTGGCTTCTAATTTCATTTGAAAAGCTTCACTGAAAACCTTTATGGACTATATTCTCGTCTTGACTCGAACCAAATCCTGAAAGCAGTCCTTCCCTTTCTTCTTCCTTCTGTCCCCTTTCTCAGAGACACTGTGCTTTCTGGAGGGGAAAAAATTCTTTGCACCACTGAGAAGGGAGGGATTATCAAAAGGGAACGAAAGAAAGAAAACAGGAGGGGTGGAGGGGGAGAGAAGGAGAGAGAGAGTATAGGAAGAATTAAAACAGTTCTTACTTTCAAGTCAGATCCACAAATGCCTGATCATTTCCAAAGCAGATCAGAGAAGAATCTTCAGGTTTTCATCCTCCATGTAGAATCTTGGTAATGACCCAGAGGCTGTTGCCATCAGGCCAGGTTGGATTCAAGAGGATGGCAACTGTGACAATGCCCAGTAATGTAGTGCACAAGTGTGAAGAGCTGGTGAACAGCTAGCCAGTTTCTCCTCTGCTTGCCTTTTCCAGGCAGTGTATTAGTAGGGGAGAAACTGTCCAACAGTTCACCTGATTATCCTTTATAGTGGCAGAACAGGAATAGCTATGCTTAAGAAAGAACTCTCTGACACTATACTGTAGTATCTGTCCGGCAGCATCACTGTTGCTCTTTCATGTTTGAGAACAGGATTGTAAAAGTACATTTAAAAAAAATAAATCCCCATTTATAGATTGACTGTTGTGAAAATAAAAATCAGTTTTTGATCCTTTTTAGGACTAAAGAGTATGCATTGTGTAGAATGTGAGAAGTATGCATATGTATGTATATATAAATAAGGAAATATATACAGGAGTGTTTCTCAACCTTGGCAACTTTAAGATGGGTTGATTTCAATTCACAGAATTCACCAGCCAGCATGGGAGTTGAAGTCCACCCATCTTGAAGTTGTCAAAGCTGAGAAATACTGATCTATGGTATAACTTTTGAGCCAACTAAAAAGGGAAGAACAAAGTTGGGTACTGTGCAATATCATCACAATCAAGGAAATATTTTCTTCTGATTTCTTCCTTAATATATGAATTTAAAATATATATTGGCCACTATCCCAGCCCTTGGAGTAATTTAAAAGCAGACCTTGAAGCTACAAGAGAATCACATAGGTTGCCAAATAATAATCCTGCAATGTATTTTGAGAACACTTCCCAGTCTATTCCTGGATAACATTGCAATGAAAAAAACCCTGATCTTTATTCTTATTTTCTCTCTGCAGAATATTGTTTTCAGGATATCAGGGGAAAAAATCCCAAGCCAAATGTAAGTTTTAAAAAATGAGTAGAATTTTCTGTTTTGGTTTTTATTCCAGCAAGGCTCAAACAGAATTTTAGAATGGAAGCCTGGTCAGAGTAATGGACAGAATAGTCATAATTGATTGAAGGATAACTTCAGTCTAAGGAAAATGCATATATTAAACATTTATTCACTTATTAATTTACATATATTTTATTGAAAAAGAATTTTGTATAGGATTAAAACTACAAAAACACAAAGATTAAAATAAAGAAAAAAACATGCAAAAATAAAAGAATAACTGAAAAATCAGTAAAAGTCATAGAAAAAGACAAAAAAGAGACAGAAAAAGAAAAATATTTAAAGAAGCAGCTTCCAATTTTTGCAACAGATTACCTCCCTCCCAAATTACATAACGTGGTTCCCTTCTTCCCATGAACAACACCTTTAATCAGTAAATCCTCAAATCCTCAATTCATTTCTGTCCATTTTTAACAAGTCTATAAAAGATTTCTGGTCTTTTGCAAAATATTTTTCCCTTCTAATCAAACAGGCCAATTTAGCCATTTCAGCAAGTTCTACTGTCTTAACAGTCCATTCCTCCATTGTGGATATTTCTGTATTTTTCCATCTTTGCACATATGGTAGCTTCATGCAGTTACCATATGTAAAACTAATTGTCCATGAGTCTTTTCTAGTGTTGACTGTCCTATAAGTTTTGGTTTCTTTAAATTTCAAAAATTTTATTAGGTTAGCAAAACATAAAATACGGAATACAAAGAAAAATGAAAATAAGGGGAAAATAAGGGAGGAAAATGGAAAGAGATAAAAGTGTACAGTAAAGGGGGGAAAGAAAAAAAGGCATTGACTTCCTTTAGATGCAGTAGAATAAGGTAATCATATGAAACTTAAACTTTTTACTTTTATGTAATAATATATATTAGCCATTTCTATAACAACAGACCTGTCTAATCGGCAAAATCCAAAATCAAAGTTTCATTTTTTTCCCACCTTAAGCACAGAGTCCAAAAGCCATTTCCAAATGGAAATAAAATTGTGTCCTTTTCTTTAATTAAAGCTGTCAATTTAGCCGTTTGTGCTAATTCCGTCAACTTTTGCAGCCATTTGTCCATTATGGGAATCAAAATGTCCTTCCATTTTTGTGCATAAAGTAATCTTGCTGCCATCAACATATATAACATCAAAGTTCCCCAAAAAAATTCAAGTTCTTTTCCATTAGGCCTAAAAGAAAAGTCTCTGGTTTTACCTTTATATTCACTTTTAAGAATCTTCTGTATTAACATGTGAATCCTACTCCAATATTTCTTGGCTTTGAAACATGTCCACCATAAATGATAAAAAGTTTCTTCTTTATATTTACATTTCCACCATTCATTTGAGATACCTTTATACATTCTTGACAATTCATCCAGTGTTAGATACCAACAATACATCATCTTATAAAAGTTTTCTTTTAAATTATAATTTAATGTGAATTTTAGACCTTTCATCCATATATTCTCCCATTGTTCAAACATTACATTATATCCAAAGTTCTTTGCCCACTGAAATCATACAATGCTTTACATACTTATTCTCCAAATTCAAATTCACTAACAATTTATAAAACTTAGCAATAATGTGTTCATCAATACTACACAGTAGGATATCGAATTTATTTTTCACTAAATCAAATACATAACTTTTTGTCTAGTTTAAATCTTTCTTTCAATTGTAAATATGTAAAACAATGGCAAACACGTCCTTCTGATACTAACCTCTTTAGATTTGAGGATAGGGTCAATAATGATTGAAAGATATTATTTGACAATAAGTTCACCAGTCTGGCCTCGCCATCATTTCTTTTTTTAAAAAAAAAGCTTCCTGAGGAGAATCAAAGAGGCATCTTTCCAGAGATCTTTATTTTATATTTATTCCAAACTCTTAGGATGGCACATCTAACAGAGTAATTATGAAAATCAACACTTACTTTAACCTTATCATATCACAAATAGCTGTGCCATCCAAATCTTAATTCATGGCCCTCTAGCTTGAGTAACCTCTTGTTTTGGAGACTCACCCACTCTTTTAGCCAGACCAAACAACAAGCATCAAAATACAATTTCAATATTTCACAATCGGTCATATTCTTAACAAGCATCGTTGTTTTCTGTTTGTTTATTTTAAAGCCCACTAAAGGTCCAAACTCATTTATTTTCTTCATCAAATATTCTGTATTAATTTTTGGATCTTGCAAAAATAGGTGAGTCATCAGCAAATTCTCTCAATTTATAAACTTCCTTTTTGACATTTATACCTGTTATTTTTCTCATCTTGCCTAACATCTCTATTCAAAACTTTCAGTACCAATATAAGCAGCAAGGGAGATAAGGGTCATCCTTGTCTCATATCCTATGAATTTCACATGATTTAGTTAAATCTCCATTAATAATAATCTTTGCTTGCTGTGACCCCTTGAATAAAATGCTCTCTGAAGTCCATATCTTCTAATACTTTAACATAAAAACCCAGTCTAAGTTGTCAAAGGCCTTCTCTGCGTCCCAAAATATTAAAGCTGCCTGTTTCTCATTATGATATTGTAAATATTCAGTAATAGTCAAAACATTGTCTCTTCTTCACATTGTCTCTTAACTATCTTTTTGGCAAAAAGGCAGATTGATCTTCATGAATATATGCCTGTAAAACCTTCTTCAATCTTTCTGCTAAAATTGCAGCAAAAAGTTTATAGTCATTATTTGATAATGAAATTGGTCTGTAGTTTTTTTTTATTATCCTTAGGACATCCTGACCCTCCTTTGGTAATAACGCAATATTAGCTTCTTTTTCAGGTTTGAGGCATCTTTGCTTTCTGTAATGCTCCATTCATTATATCCTTTAGTGGCTGAAGGAGTTGATCCTCAAAGCATTTATAATATTGGCCTGTAAGACCATCTGGAGCTTTACCTGGTTTCATTTTTTAATAGCTTCTGATATTTCAAAGGTCACTGGATCACTCATAAGCTGTTTCTGAGCTTGTGAAAGTTTAGGTAAGCATTGTCTTAGCAGATGTTCATCTATTTCATGCATGTCAAATTCTTGCTTCTTGTAGAGATTGGAATAGAAATTATGAAATGACTTTTTAATAAGATCATTATCTGATATTGCATTGTCACCTTCATGCATTTTCTTGATCATTCTTTTTTCCCTTTCCCTTCTTAATTTATATGCCAATCATCTTCCTGGTTTATTTGCAAACTCAAAATGCCTTTCTTTCACATTATTAGGTTTAGTTTATGTTTCTTTAACTGTTAACATAGACAATTGTTGATGTAACAGTTTAATTTGAGGTAAATTTTGGAGTCTGTAGGTATCTTT